CGTTAGTAGCTATAATGCAGACAAAAGAAATGCATATTTAGAGCCATAATAACCAGTCTGGAGAGGTGTAAATGTGTGCAGGGGAGACTGAGACTGAATGGGGCACCACAAAACAATAGAGACAATAGACTGAATAGATGACTCAGAAGATGACTAAACATCAGTTTGCTAATAGAGTCTAATCAAAATAAAGTAATTTGACATGATCTTGAAAAACATTTAACTAAATACAGAGCTTTATACTTATCATTTTCAGATTTTAAATATAAAATGGTCAGACATGTGGCTTTAGCTGCAGTGCATTTCTAGATTGCTCCAGGGCCAACTTCAATTTTATTTTCATGAAGATGTTTCATAAAAATAAATTTCTAATAACTTTACAAAACTTTGAAGCTATTTAAAATTGTTTTTTTCATTATGACAATAATTAATTCTACATTTACAATAAACAACCAGGTGTCAGCTTTCAAATGAGACCATACTTGTGCTTTTAGTGCAAAGGGTTCATGAACTGTATCTGTTTTAGTTTGGGTATGTCATTTCTGGGGATTTTTCAAAAGTGGGCTTGAAGCTTAACAGGTTAAGCTACTTACTAGGTTTCAGCCATACTCGCTCCTCAAGAGGTAGATGGGCACAAACAGGGAATATCTGAGATTATTTAATATTTAATAAACTTTATTCAACCATGATATCAAAAGAATAAATATTACACCAATTTCAAATCCACACAAGTTAAAAAAATAACGGTTCCTCCACAACCGTACAAAAAATAGAATTGTAACACCACTGTAATTTCAAAGTTTCTATATCGTTCATTGCTTTATAGTACTTAAACTCCACAACAATTCTCGACTTGATAAAAGCTTTAAATAAGGCTGACCACCCATATTTTCTATTCTGTTCTCCCTTGTTTTATAAATTGCGGGCTTTGCCTATCCAAACAGAAAATTAAGCAGCTGCCATTTAATCTTTTGCTTTTGATTGTATCCTGACCCTAAAATAAACACATCTGGTGTAAACTTTTCCCCAAATTTACTACATAACAAATCTAACAAATTAAAAAGCATTTGAAGTCTTTCACACTCCAAATAATAATGAAAAATAGTTTCTCTAGATCCACAAAACACACATTTATCATCAGTATTTGGATTAATGACTGAAACAAACGCGTTAACAGCCACAGTCCCATGTAATATTCGCCATTGTAAGTCACCTGATCGTTTGGTCAATGGTGGTTTGTACAGCACTCTCCACACAGGTTTCTTGTCCTCTTTCAACCCAAGTTTATCCCTCCACACCATATCAACCCTCCCATTTAGTGTTCCTTTATTAAATGTTTACAAAGCATTTATACATCACTTTCCCTTCGACTTCATTAAGATCTAAATTTTGCAGTCCGTTGAGGTCCAACAAAGGTCCTGACATTTCTTTTAAGTCTGGTGTAATCCCAAGTTTTGGAAATGGGTCTCTTATATCCAGAGTCACTTTTCCATTCTAAAAATCTTTTATTAAATTCAATTCTTCATTGGTTAGTCTTGTTTTCCACATAACCACTATAGTTAGTGTGTGGCGCGTTTACCTCTGACCCAACAAAGTAGCTACTGCATTTATATCACTCATCTCAGGTCCAGCCACATTAACTATGTGCCTCAATGCCACAGTTTTAGAAGCATACAGTATCTGCGTAAGTCCCAGAACATTCTCACGTCCAATATCCATGCGAGCTCCTTTGATTAGAGGTTCTTCAAGTAACCAGTACAAAGAATTGGTCTCCTCCAGTCTGCAAACATTTAAAAGTCCCCACACTTTGAAAAGTTCACAATAAAATCGAGGCACTCCAGCCAATCGTAATTGTTTAGCATCCATTAGAAACAGCGCAGCATCCAGTCCAAGCACATCTACTGTGTTTAAAATTGTTTTTGCCATCTTCCTCCACACCAGATCAACAGGACCAGTCAGAAATTTCTAAATAAACTGCAGACGAAAGGTAGCATGTCTGCTTGGTTGACAATTGTGAGTGAATCTATTTCCATTTTGTTCTATTTTTTAATCACCCCTTCCCATTTCTTTTGTTGGGTATTTAAATCCCCAAGAAGTACTCCTAGATATTTTAAACCTTCTTTCTTCCAACTCATCCCACCAGGTAGTTTTGGTAGCCCTTCCTCCCATTTCCCAACAGCCAGTGCTTCACTCTTCTCCCAATTAACTTTTGCAGCAGAAATTATTCCAAAATCATTAACAACAGAAACCAGTTGATTAATGTCTCGTTGCCCATTTACCAACACAATTACATCATCGGCATAAGCTGAAATTTGATGTTGTATATTATGATACAATGTTCATGATGTATGAATGTATATCATGATATAATGATACAAGGTTAGTGGTCAGTCTATGGATACGACAAGAGCGTGCAAGTTTTTTTTTTTCTTAATATCCAGTTGTTCAGTTTACTATTTGCCACAACTTAAGGCTATTTTCGATTCTCTGGTTATTTTAAATTTTTACCTTCAAACAAATCTGTATTTTAATTAGACGCGTTCCTACTTCATCCTACTAAAAGTATTGCAGTTTAAATTTTAAAGCACTTAAGTGTAGCGCTCTCCAAACAGCTAGTTTCGATTTGTCCCATTTTCTGATTATTTGCTTTTGCTGTGCTAATTGCTGGGCCGAGACAGCAACTGTAAAACAGATATAAACTAGAGGAGACTTAGGACAAGGCCAGGACACCCTGTCTCTGCCCAACCAGCTGGATGTAAACCAATCTGGCTTCAAGAAAGGGCATTCAACCAAGTCTGCATTACTGTCGGTCACAGAAGCCCTGCGGATCGCAAAAGCTGCTTCCAAATCATCAGTTCTCATTCTCCTGGATCTGTCTGCTGCCTTTGACACTGTGAACCATCAGATCCTTCTGTCCACCCTCTCATCACTGGGCGTCAAAGGTACTCCTCTCCACTGGTTTGAGTCCTATCTCACAGGTAGGTCCTTCAGGGTCACATGGAGAGGTGAGGTATCCAAAGCACATCAACTGACCACAGGGGTTCCCCAGGGTTCAGTTCTTGGACCGCTCCTCTTCTCCATTTACACCACATCACTGGGACCCATCATACAAGCACATGGTTTCTCTTACCATTGCTATGCTGATGACACCCAGCTCTACCTCTCATTTCAACCAGATGATCCCATAGTAGCGGCACGGATCTCAAGCTGTCTGGCGGACATCTTGGCGGAGCAGTCTGCAAGGCAAATAGCGGACACACGTGTACTAAAATAAAAGTAAAAACACTAATAAATAAATATAATTAATGATTTTGTTACAACTAATGCAACAGTTAATGACTATGTAAATTGAGTAATTAAAATGAGTTACTACCGATAAATGTAGATTTTTAAAGTCTTTAGAAACTTTGAACTAGACATCGATATTGTGTAGTTTGTGATCCTCCATCAGCAGCTGCAGTTTCTCTCAGCTGTATCAGTGCAGTCACTGTGACGTCTGACTGACAGAGGTTTTTGTACGACTCTTTATCACTGTGTGAACACATGTTTACTGTTGATTACATGAAAACTCTGACAGTAATAATCTCCTGTATCTTCAGTCTGGACTCCACTGATGGTCAGAGTAAAATCACTGCCAGATCCACTGCCACTGAATCTAGAGTGAGTTCCAGTATAACGGGTTGATGTAATATATATGAGGAGTTTAGGAGCTTCTCCAGGTTTCTGTGAGTACCAAATAACTACCACCATGCACATCACTGCTGGTTTTACAGTTTATTCTGACTTCTTCTCCTGGTTGAACTGCTGATATTGATGGACTCTGAGTTACAGTGATCTGTCCTCTACACTCTGAAAGAAAACACAAACAAAAATGAAAATGATATATGATGATATACAGTATATGATAAACATATATTTCACATTTTAAAAAAATAATAATCATTATTAAAACATGTATTTCACAAACCTTGAGCAAACAGTGCAATGGTCCAGATGAAGATGATGATGTTGTTCATAGTTGTAGTTTAGTCTTGTGTGATGATGAAGAGTGTGTTGTGTTCTGCTCTCAGTCATGAAGTGTTAAACTCACAGCACTATAAACACTCTCAGAGCACTGAAGCATGTGCTGACAATGCAAAGAAGTGGGCAGGATTTACAACAGCTTGTGCTGAGAACAAACTCATATACACTAGAGTTACACAATCATGACTTTATTTAGTATGTTTATTGTGACTCCTGAGACACTGAGGATGTGCAGATGAACGTCCATCTCTGTGTCCATATTCAGTCATGTGACCATCATCACTGCTACACTTCCACTAGATGAAGCGCCATCACTAAAGTAAGATCATGAATCATGAGTGTGTTCAGAAAGTATCAGGACTGATTGTGAATCTCTAATCAGAGTTCATGGTGTCACTCCATCTATCATGAAGCCTCATGTGTGTCTGAAATCATCAGATGGAGAAGAAACAGGCTGTTAAAGATGGACACATATTAGAGCTTGTTCACGTTTCATGATCTTGTGTGGAGATTCAGAACCAGTCCAGATACTTTTATAACACACCTTGAATATGAAAACATGCTTGACTGTGTAGAACATGCAAAACACCTTTTATATCTTCATTGTCACACTTTCTATTGACTTTGGCTCTAATATTCAATAAAGTCATTATTTGAACAGATTCTCACTGAAGATTGAAGTGTGAAGCTGCAGGTTTTTCTGTGAATCATGATGATTGATCTGCATATGAAGAACAGAAGCATCATTATGAGAAACTCCACAACATCATCCATGATCAAAGAGGTCAAAGGTCACCTCAGAGGTCACAGCTCATCACATATATTTCTTTAAACAGTGTTATATCAGAAAGCATTTAGTCAAATCTGAATAAGTGAGTGTTGAGAAGAGCTGAGGATCTTCTACTATCAGTGTGTTGAAGTGTTGTTTCTCTCTCTCTGCTGGAGTGTGTGTTCACTCGAGTGGAATAGAGGTTTTAGTACGAGCGTTTCATTAGATTGTATCACTGTGGTACACATTCGGTGGAGGAACTAAACTGGTGATCGGTAAGTCTGTCGATTTAATCACCTAATAAAAAAAACAATTTAGATTTCAGAAAGTGTTTTACAGTTGAAACAAGAACAACATTTAATAAAAATAATGATTATTAGATATTGTGGCAAACTTTACTTGAAGCATTTATGTATAATACATTATAAAGTGTATCTTTATGTAAATTATTGTAAACAAAGTTAAAATGCATGATATTTACAAATTCCTCGTTGTAAAGTAAAACTGTTGTTGATCATTTGTTTGAATGCATTTATAAAATAATGTAACAATGAATAGATAATATTATAATCGTGTTATAATCGTGAATACAAATATTCATGAGATGATACATGCATTATAAGGTGCAGTAATGCATTTTTATTATCAAGGCATAATAAATGCATTAAATACATTTATTAATACATGCATGTATAAAATCTTTAAGTAAAGTGTTACAAATAATCTTTTATTATTATTTAATCTAAAACAATTATATTGACATGTTTATACATTCAGAAGAACGGAACAAAATACACTCCCCGGCCACTTTATTAGGTACACCTGTCCAACTGCTCGTTAACACTTAATTTCTAAGCAGCCAATCACATGGCGGCAACTCAGTGCATTTAGGCATGTAGACATGGTCAAGACAATCTCCTGCAGTTCAAACCGAGCATCAGTATGGGGAAGAAAGTTGATTTGAGTGACTTTGAACGTGGCATGATTGTTGGTGCCAGAAGGGCTGGTCTGAGTATTTCAGAAACTGCTAATCTACTGGGATTTTCACGCACAACCATCTCTAGGGTTTACAGAGAATGGTCCGAAAAAGAAAAAACATCCAGTGAGCGGCAGTTCTGTGGGCAGAAATGCCTTGTTGATGCCAGAGGTCAGAGGAGAATGGCCAGACTGGTTCGAGCTGATAGAAGAACAACTTTGACTGAAATAACCACTCGTTACAACCGAGGTATGCAGCAAAGCTTTTTGTGAAGCCACAACACGCACAACCTTGAGGCGGATGGGCTACAACAGCAGAAGACTCCACCGGGTACCACTCATCTCCACTACAAATAGGAAAAAGAGGCTACAATTTGCAAGAGCTCACCAAAATTGAACAGTTGAAGACTGGAAAAATGTTGCCTGGTCTGATGAGTCTCGATTTCTGTTGAGACATTCAGATGTTATAGTCAGAATTTGGCGTAAACAGAATGAGAACATGGAACCATCATGCCTTGTTACCACTGAGCAGGCTGGTGGTGGTGGTGTAATGGTGTGGGGGATGTTTTCTTGGCACACTTTAGGCCCCTTAGTGCCAATTGGGCATCGTTTAAATGCCACGGCCTACCTGAGCATTGTTTCTGACCATGTCCATCCCTTTATGGCCACCATGTACCCATCCTCTGATGGCTACTTCCACCATGTCACAAAGCTCTAATCATTTCAAATTGGTTTCTTGAACATGACAATGAGTTCACTGTACTAAAATGGCCTCCACAGTCACCAGATCTCAACCCAATAGAGCATCTTTGGGATGTGGTGGAACGGGAGATTCGCATCATGGATGTGCAGCCGACAAATCTGCGGCAACTGTGTGATGCCATCATGTCAATATGGACCAAAGTCCCTGACGAATGCTTCCAGCACCTTGTTGAATCTATGCCACGAAGAATTGAGGCAGTTCTGAAGGCAAAAGGGGGTCCAACCCGTTACTAGCATGGGGTACCTAATAAAGTGGCCAGTGAGTGTACATTCTAAATGTATTTTCATAATGTGTCTCTCATTTAATCAGTTTATTACTGGTTTTATTTTCCTTAATTTATTTCTACACTGAGTTAATATTTAGTTCATCTTTTATTGTAGAAATCATAGATCGAAAAAAAAAGATTTGACATCAGAATGTAAATGTTGCTACTTTCTGTAGTTCAGTCAATGATACTGAATCTCTTTTGCTCATGTTGTCCTTATAATTCAGTGCTTTATAATATAAGCAAGATTTATGTGTGATTCAATTGTGTTTTAATTCTGTTTTAAAAATGAGTTACATTTTGAGTTTAATATCTCTAGTAAGTAACATTTAAGATCTTTACATTCAGAGTTAAAAAACTGCTAGAATTAAGTATCTTTAGTTTCAATTGATTTAAATGTATATAGTGATTTTGTCGTTTGTGTGTATACATATATATATATATATATATATATATATATATATATTCACTGTAGTGAAGCTGAACGGCATGAAGGATCAGATGCTGGAGATTTGTCCTGCATTCCTCATGTCTGCTGCTTCAGTCCTGTTGAAATGCTGTGAATGTGCAGTGCAGTGTGTTGTGTGTGTGTTTGTGAATGTGTTGTGTTTGTCTCCTGCAGCTGGTCCCACAGTGAAGCCCTCAGTGTCTCTGCTGCCGCCCTCTTCTCTGCAGATCTCTGGAGACTCAGCCGCACTGCTCTGCCTGCTCAGCTCTTACTCTCCACAGGGGGCGCTGGTGAGCTGGACACTGGACGGGTCAGAGGTCACCGAGGGGGTTCTGACCAGCGCAGAGAGCCAGCAGGACGGCCGCTACAGCCGCAGTAGCGTCCTGACCCTCAGCAAAGCACGCTGGGAAGAGGGAGAGCTGTACGTCTGCAGAGTAACACATGATGGTGCTCCTCATGAGGTCTCGTTCCACAAGAGCTCTGAGTGCTGATGTTTCTCTCCTGAAGATGAGCCGTATCTGAGTGTCCTGTGTCAGGCAGGATTCACATGAGTCTAGTGCTGCAGCTGTAGTGCTTTACAACTCCATACTGAAAGAGTGTGTGTGTGTGTGTGTGTGTGTGTGATCTTTCAATCTGCTGTGTTTGCTGCAACATTCAATAAAGCTTCTCAACAAGTTCACTTTGTGTCTGACAACATCATTCAACTAACAGATGAAGATGCAGGAGCTTTTCAGAAGGTTGATGTCGCAGTAAATGTCAAATAAAGCTCTTGGGGTTTGAACATGGTCTCTGGAGACAGAGCTGCTCTATTCTGAGAGATCACAATCACTCCACCCTGACAATGCAAATGGGCTTTTCAGTCTCACTCTCTGATTGGTTACATGATCTGGACTGGAACACAACAGTTTCACTTTTGCAAAAGAAGGTGCTGGTATTTAAATAATAAAAATATAATAAAAATAATTGAAGTGACTGAATGCAGCGTGTTCAGTTTGATTGACAGGGATCATATATTACACCTAAAACATGATGATCATATTAAAACACTGACTCATTCTCTTCATAAACACAAGATTGATGTAGATTGTAATGATATAGTGTTATTAGTGTTTGAAAATACAATCATAAATCATTCTTCAAACCTGGACTAAACACTGGCAGAGTCAAGAGGAAGATGATGCTGAAAGTCATGTTTGTTGGTTGATGAAGAAGAGCTCTTGATCATGTCATGTTCAGTTCATAGAGCTATAAACACATGCAGAGTGAAGCATGTGCTGATCATATAAAACACCCTCTGAATGCAAAAGCTGCTGTAGACTGTGAGCTCACGACGAGACCGAAGAGAGATCAGGACGAGATACAGACTCACCTCAGACTCATCAGAGTCAAACAGCTTTACTGACAGGGTTAAAGAACGGCTTTACATGGCCGAAGCACAGGCACATTAAATATACTCACATACACACTTACACACAAATACACACAGGTAAATATATATATATGGAGTTCAGTCATGAAACTCTAGATCAGTGTTTCCCCAACAATGTCTCTCTAATCTGACAAACATTTCAGGTGTTGGAGTCTCTACTGATGAGCTGATGAGTTGATCATGTGTGTTTGATTAGGGAGATATATAATATGTGCAGAGTTGTGCGGACTTGACACAGTCAGGTATCCCAGAATGCATCTCGCACTAATCAGCAAGCGTCAATAGCAGAGGAGAAAACACGCGTAATTTAAAAATACTGCTGTTATTGTGTCACGAACTGTAGTTTTCAGATTTTTTCAGGTGAGAATGTAGTTGTTTAAAGCTCAAATCGGTGGTTTATTAGTAAAGATAGCGTCTATTTGATTGGGATTCAGACGGAGGCGCTGGTTTCACTTCCAGCTGATGGATGATCCACTGTATGCAGCGACCCCAGGACAGTGTGTGCTGTAAGGGTCACCTCTTCTTCTGTGGTATTTTCCACCATCACTGTAATGTTGTCATTATTGTTCAGATTCATCTGGATAAGCTGTTTGTTTGCCTTTATACCTGCAGGCCAGGGTACTTCTGAATGGGCTCCAGCATCACGTGTGTTTCAAGGGTAACCGTCTTATTCAGTTTGCCACAACTGACGTTCACTCTCGAACACCTTGAAGAATGATGGATTTTCTTCCAAGTCTTGCAATATGAAAGCCGCTGCTGTTTTTGCGTTTCTTCAGGAGTGACAGAACGGCTTTTGCTTTCCTAGGGCTAACTTCCAGAGATGAACTCAGTGTGTTCACAAGGAAACTCAAAGGAATCTGCTGGGCTGCATTAGCTTGGACCAATTCCTCAATCACATTAAAGGTGATTATGGGTTTCTCCAATTCACTGGATGTAATGAGAATTGGTGCCAGCAGGAGTGTGCCCCTTCCTTCAGTCTCAGTGTTTCCAGACAGACACAACTCCACTTCCATCCAGCCTTCATATGGGATGCTCGTCCCGTTCGCCGCTATCAGGTTGAGCTCTCCCTCCTCAAGCTGCTCTCTCACTGGTCTCACCTCTGCGTCAGGAAGACGTCTCTTCTTCCACAATTGAAACCTGTGACCCCGTGTCCCAAAGCACTGATGTATTAACACCTCCAAGAGAACATTGCACCAAGCATCTATAACCAACACATGCTACACTGAGTATATGCTAATTAATCATCTGCTTGTAGGGAGGGTCATCAGCATAAACATAAGTTTTAATCCAATGAGTAAATAAAAACAGTAATGAAAACACCTTTTCTGACTTTATATAAACACCAAATAGACTCATAACCAAGCAACAATATTCAGACAGTGTTACAAAAACACCCAGCACACAAAGACATCTATGGTTCTGTAGATGACTTGAAGTCCCTGTAATATATATTTCAGTCTTTATCACATTCACAGTTGGAGAAAGTTAAGATGAGAGTGTGAATGTCAGATGCAAGTCTTAACTGCCGTTAAGGAGTCAAAAAGGATGTGGAGGTTTGATGAAATCCAACGAAGCGTGACCTTAGTCCAACATATAGCTCTCCCGTCAGAGGAAATCCATAATGGTAATCAAACTGTCAAATGTAGCTATTTCCAACCATGAACCTCGTATTAGTCCTCAGATGAAAGTTTCCCAACAAGGACTTTGTTTGAACAAGGAGGTCAGCCATGATAATTTCTTTTACCGCTCACCTGTCTCTTTATCTACGCACCCAGGTCTCACTAATACCCCTAGTGGAGAGGAGTGTGATGGCAGTTTAAAAAACTCAGTAACTGACAGGTGTCTGTTACACATCTGCGTCCCACCAAACTGGCTGTTTTCTCCTGTTTGTTCGACCATGGTCCTTCAGATAAGCAAGCTCTTGTACCCCTTTTCCACCAAGGCAGTTTGAGTGCCGGTTCAGAGCCAGAGCCTAGTTTCAAACCAGTTCTTTGTCTGCGGGAGTGTGTGGAGAGCATACGACTCCTTGTGCTTTTGGATCGCACTCGAAGTGCTTTTATGTCATGCGTTTGGCGTTACTGGGCAACATGAGATGTATACAGTGACGCTTTTCCATCAGGTTGTTAGGCTTTGGAGCTTTCTCTTTTTTCATACTGACACCTTTATCTTGTTCAGCGTGTGCCTGTTCCTCCTCCCTAACTGTGGCCACCTTGGCTATTTTTGGTTGAGTGGTTGAGAACTTTGATTTTCTTTCAAGCTCCAGACTATATGATGTTTTATTAACAAGGTTCGGGAGGAACACGTTCTAATGATCAAACAATCAGGTCCTTCCAACCAGCAGTCAACAATCAGTAATCAACAGATCCACTCAATCAGTATGAGTAAGGCCTATAAATATACGCAGTCGACTCACTCATATTCCTCAACAGTTTTCAGCATCCCTCCACCACCCCATCTCCTCACACTTGCCTGGTTATCTTCCTAACCAGAGATACGGGGGGAGTACTCTGGGTTCGGGCCCAAAAGCGCGCCAAATACGCATAACCATTTATTCTCTGATCATTCGTAAGTGTGAACTCGTGAAATGACATGTTCATTTTCTCCAAAAACACTTCATCTTCCACCCACGGGTTTTCCAGGTAGGGTTTTAGATCTGTGTGTATGCTGTCATCATGAAGGCCAGTCAGAACTGTCTGCAAAAACTGATTCTGGATTAGTTCATGATTATATCTCAATCCTGTCAGATGCTGACAAATCCCTCTGTCTGAGATCCATGGCTCGAACATTAATTTAAAAATACTGCTGTTATTGTGTCACGAACTGTAGTTTTAAGATTTTTTCAGGTGAGAATATAGTTGTTTAAAGCTCAAATCGGTGGTTTATTTGTAAAGATAGCGTCTATTTGATTGGGATTCAGACGGAGGCGGTGGTTTGACTTCCAGCTGATGGATGACACAACAAAACATTTGAGATGTGAAGGAAATGACACTGTGGAGATGATTTTCATGACTCTCAGCAAAATTACATTATTTGTAATGTTGTATGAAAAGGAGATGAATGTCAGTAATTCTGTAATCTTCTACAGAAACATTAGACTGTATTTGATGGTTTGTAACCCCAGTATATCTCCAGAAACTAGAGAAGTGGTGTATTCCAGTAACATGAAGCTCCTGTGAGGACGCTGGACATCTGCTGATGGAGCTGCTCGATTCTCAGAGGAACACAATCACCTGATGATGCAAATATGAGTTTCACTGTCTGACACTTTATTCTCTGAAATGAGTCAGAAGAGTTGGACTGATGGAGATATGAGGTTTGTTCATATTCATCAGTTTATAATGAAACACTGTCAGGGTCTGAAGCCTCTGAACTGCTGAGATCGTCTTTGACTCGGTTAGAGAGTAAGAGCTCGAAGAGTTCAATCCACAAATGTAACACTTGTGTGATACTATAATCAGTTTATTGTAAGTAAAAGGTAGAAATGTTCCCTGGAGACTTCACCTGATCACTGGCCCACAGCAAGGGAAATGAGTTTGGAATAACAGCTGTGTAAAACAGAGCAATTAAATTAAGCAGAATATCTTTGTATAGGCCTATGTTTGGTTGACTGTGTTTTATTTTAATAATGAACAGGCTGCAATGTCAAGTTAGCAATGCTAGAAGTGAACTCATTATGTTGTGTGAGCGAGCGATGCGCCGACGCCATCACTTGGATTTATTGCTCAGCAGGGGAAACAACTTACTTTGTTGTTTAATACTCTGTCATTCAAAACAGTGTATACTTGAGAACTCCTGGTCTACACAGAAGAAAGCCCTTTCTATTCTATTCCCCTGTACGGGTTGTGTCAAGCCATTAGTCTGGTTGTTTGATGAGAAAAAGATGAAATGTAGTTGCAATAAACGTGTTAAGAATCCGCACATCAGCTGCAGCAGCGGAGGACTCTTATTCTGCGTGCGGACCTGAGGAAGAACTGATGACGGAACAGTTTGATCTTCGGCTGACAAATCAGAGGAAAGGGGCGTTTCATTCCCGCCCACGTGTTGATATCGAATATTCCAGCTGTTTATTAATTTTTCTACCCCAGAACGAAAAACGAAAAATCAAGCTGAAATCTTGTTTTTCGTTTTTTTGGTAAAAATGAAAAAACGAAAAAAGACCTGTTTTCTCATTTTTCTACTTTCAATATTAAATTAAAAAACGACTGAACGAATGATACACGGATTGTACACGGACTGTGCTTGCACCGCCA